GTAATCCTCCTGATCTCTGCCTCCTGGGTAGGTAGGATTACAGGTGTGAGCCACCGGTACCTGCCTAGGCCCCAACTCTTGAAGGTCTCACTACTCTTTTTTTTTTTTCACTAGAAAATTGCAAATAAAAAGTTTAATTTCAGAAACCAAGTTCACTATTTATAAATACTTTATAGTCCACACAAATTTATATTGAGCATAGGTACAGTATTTTAACAAAACAACTTTTTTAAAAAAGGTTGTAAGCAAATGAGTGACTGTGTCACTCTGAATACTTAATTTGAAATGAGAAAACGAACACTCTTTTAGATGTTAAAGTAAAAACTCTGAAGACACTGTTAAAAGAACCTGACAATTGCTATTTCATTCTGACAACCTTGGGATTCTATAATACCCCAGTGATGGCTGAGTCTTCTGTATCATTAAAAAATAAATAAATAACAAATCTAAATGGGCATCTTCACACACTAAGCAGCATAAATACAATAAGAGAATGTTATAATATCATCAAAACTAAGAGAAATACACTGTGGGAAAGTATTTATTCAATAAATCCTTCACCTGGTTAAAAAAGCAAGTATATTTTGTTTATTTTTGTTTGCTTATCACTAACTCTGTTTGTCATTGTTGTGTAGAACAGGGTCCCTCATGGGAACAAGGTTAATTCATAACCTGTTACCCATTACTTAGTAGAGTATGTCTTTTTCTTCCCTTGTCAACAGTGTTTGGAATGTACCCTTATCCTTCTACCCTTATTTTTTGGCAGTTGGTACTCAAACTCTTGAGCCATGCCTCCAGTCCCCTCCTTCTACTCTTATTGCAGGGACAAAACCCACCAAGTACTGGGAGGAGTCATGATGTCCCAACTGGTGCAGGCGCCAATTGCTCTTACCTGTAATCCTAGCTACTCAGGAGGATTGAGGTTTCCAAGCAAACAGCTTGTAAGACCCTATCTCAAAAACACCCAACACACCAAAAAAGGGCTGGTGGAGTAGCTCAAGTGATAGAGTGCCTGCCTCGCATGGGTGAGGCCCTACATTTGAGGCCCTGATTTCAAACTCCTTACTGACAAAAAAAGAACAATTAGTCATTACCTGTAGCTTACAAGAGAAAAAAAATTAAAACGAGGAAAAATTTTAAACTGTTTTAAAAATTTAAAACCTCCTCAGACTGGCACCAGTGGTTCATGTCTATAATCCTAGATACTTGGGAGGCTGAGATTAGGAGGATGGAGGCCTGAGGCCAGTCTGGGCAAATAGTTCACAAGACCCCATCTGCAAAATAACCAGGGCAAATGGGATAGAGGTGTGCAGCAGAGCACCTGCTTTGCAAGCACAAACCCCTACTTTCAATCTCCAATCCAATCAAAAATAAAAATAAAAATGCCATCCTCATGACTAGAAGAGAGGCATCAGATCCCAAACTACTCCAGCAAACCAATAAAATGCCTGGATTTGTTTGTTTTTTGGTTCTGGGGATTAAACCCAGGGCCTTGGGCATGGTAGATTCTACCACTGAGCTACAGCCCAACCTAAGGCCTGTTCCTTTCTGTGAGAGGGCAGCCTGCATCTCTTATTCAGTGCCTTCCCTTTTTCCTCTACCCCTTTTCTCTTTCAAATAAAACTTTGTCTAAAAAACTTGCTCTCTCTCTACCTCAGTTTTATTTCTATTGTCACTGGGGTGGAATTTTCCTCATATCTTGTATCACTGTGAGTTGCATTTTACCCAAAATGTTGACACATATATTTACATGTCAAAAATTAAAGATGCATTAACATATAAGTTCCTTTCTCTGACCTGGAAGCATTTTGCAAGGTACGCTAAATGGACAATAATGCAAGGTACACTAGAAAAGAGGTTTCTTATCCATTCTGTGACACTGAAGAAACAATCAAGGGTGTTAAGGAATTGTGATCAGGCAAAACTAACAGAAACAATTCATCCTGCAGAGTTCTGCAGAGTAATCAAAGTTGGGTTTGTCCTGAGCAGCTGAAATACACACTTTTAATGACCACCTCTGAACAATTTTGTCATAAACCCTGATGTCTTCTGGACCCTGTATTGCCTCTTCAGGAAGACGGGATAGTTTCCATCCAACTTCTGGGTAACTTTTAAAGTGCTGCCCAACAGCTAGTTGCCTGCTTCTTGGAGGGTGTGCAAATGACTTTCGGGAAAGTGAACCTAGTTTTTCACAGACTTAGAATTATTTAGGAGCAAAAGGAATCAATCCTTTACAATGGAGGACTTCCTCCTTCGCCCCCTCTGCACCTCCTCTCCAAGCCCAACACACCTCTAGAAATGGAACCATGCTGCCAGCCCCTATGGAGGTTTTTGATTCCACAGAAGGAATGAGGGTCAAGATCTGACAATGGCCAGGTGTCAGTGGCTCATGTTTGTAATTCTAGTAACTTAGGAAGCAGAGATCAGGAGGAAAGAGGTTTGAGGCCAACCCTGTGCAAACAGTTCTCAAGACACTTTCTTGAAAATTTCCAGTACAGGGGTTGGTGGAGTTGCTCAAGTGGTAGAGCACCCATCTAGCAAGCCCTGAGTTCAAACCCCACTACCACCAAATACAAAACAAAACAAAATATCTAAAGATGATGAGTTTTCCTTGGGGACTATGGTCCCATCATCATGCACTCTCCTTACTTGGGACAAGAAGGGAAGGGCTCACACTTTTAGGGACTGGTTTCTCAGTGGAGTGCATACCATGCCCTCACAGCCAAATGGCCCTAGTCCTCCTGGAGACAACTGCAGCCTGCACATCAGCTAGGGTTGAAGTACTGTGTTAGCTAGCGTTTGCATTTCTGTGACTAATACCTGACAAACAAGTTAAAGCAGGAAAGATTTATTTGGCTCATGAGGGTTCAGCCCATGGGTACTTGCCCTCCTATGCTTAGATAGTGGGAGCCTGTGGCAGAGGAGAGTCTTCACCTCACAGTGCATAGGGAGCAGAGAGTGAGCAGCAAGAAGGGCAAGGGAGCTGAGGTGGTGGCTCAAGTGGTAGAGGGCTGGCCTAGCAAGTGTGAGGCCCCAAGTTCAAACCCCATCCAGTGCCACAAAAAAAAAAAAAAAGAAGGGCAAGGGACACCACCAAGGACATACCTCCCATGACTTACTTCCTCCATCTAGGTTCCACCTTCTAAAGTTTCCAGAACCTCTCAAAATAGCACCACCAAAGTTTCCAGAACGTCCTAAAATAGCACCGCCATTTGGGAACCAAGTATTCAAAACATCAACCTGTAGAGACATTTCACATTCAAACAATAATAAGCAGTAAGTGTGTAGGGCAGTGCCTCTGATATCTGGCCAAATGCTTGGCACAGAGCAAGCATGCAAAAAAAAACTTGATAAGTGAATTAAAAGTTAAACATTCAAATTTCAAAAAATCAAGGTAAGTCTCCCATTGCAGCTCATACTCCCATACAGCTGTTACCTACCTAACAGCTATTACTTAAGTATCTCCGATTCAATTTCCTGATACCAGCATGATCTGTTGACAGGTCAAATAAAAATGTGCCAAACTCAGCTTTTTTTTTCTTATCTAAGCCCAGTCCTCTTCCTGGTTTCTTCCTAGTTCTCTTCCTTTTTTTTTTTTTTGAGGTACTGGAATTTGAACTCAGGGACTTGTTCTTGCTAGGTAAATGTTGTACCAAAGCCCTTTTTCCTATTAATTTATTTCTGATATGGTCTCCCTCCTGGGACTACAATTCTCTTACTTATGACTTTGGCATAGCTACAATTATAGACATGTACCATAACACTCAGTTTGTTTGTTTGTTGGAGGTTTCATTAACTTTTTAAAAAAGTAAACATTTCTTTATAATTATTTATTTTGGCAGTACTGGGATTTGAACTCAGCACTTTGTCCTTGTTAGGCAGGCTCTCCACTGCTTGAGTCATGCCTCCAGCTCAAGGCTAACTTATTTTTTTGCCTGCGTTGGCCTTGAACACAATCTTCCCAATTTCTGCCTACCAAATAGCTAGGATTAAAAGGAGTGCGTCAACCCACTGGCTCCTAGTTCTCTTTGCAACTATAATCTTCCTACTTATTCCTCCTTTTCTTTCGTTGACAAGCACAACTCTTGGCTCACTTTGCTGCTTTTCCAGGTGGAGCAGACATCCGCCTGTTCTGCTTCTAGAGCATCTTTCTCCATCTGGGGTCTTGGCTCCTACTACCCTCAGCCTCTACTACCTTTTTCTTGGACTAGGGAATACCTTAAGATTTTTCTGTCTCTAATCTAATCTCTTTTTACCAATCTCTTCCTAACTTTGCTGCTTGATTGCACCTCCACCCCCCCCCCAAAAAAAATCCCAGTTTAACACAATGGTGAGGAGTATGCATTCTAACTGATAAGTTTCAGCACAATATAATGATTGATCAAAAACTTAAAGTCTGGAGACAAACCCCCTGGTTTTATTGTTGCCGTTCAAGGATTTAACTTTTTTTTTTTTTCAACCTCACTTCTCACTTTGCAGTCTTAGCCAAAATATCTCCATCTCTCACCTGCCTTCCAGATCTCCCCAACCTTTTCATAGTCTAGTCACCTTATCCACTACTCACTTCTCTGGAATGATCTACCTGTCTTCCCAACTGTGTTCACATGACAACTGTACTTCTCACTTTTTGTACAGTTATGTGCGTCCTTAAAAATCTTGAGGGAAAACGCAAGTTTCTTCAGGACAGGATATTAATGTTTTGTTTTTTATAGCTTCAATAAGTCACAGTGACTTGCACTTTGGTTGCTCAAAAAGGTGAATGACATCAGTTTGCTGAAAGAAATCTGACTCTGAGCCTTAGCGGTTGAGGATAGGTGCTTTGCTCACGTGCGGGTTCTCTTGGGCCTGTCACGGACCCAAGTACTGAACAGCTGCTGGACCTTATTAGGAGAACCAAGGTCAGGTCCCGCCCACAGACCGCCCCGCCCACAGGCCGCCCCGCCCACAGGCTGCCCCGCCCACAGTTCTCCCAGCCTGTGCACAAACCTCCGGGCTCCTGAGGTCCCTCGGACGCGCGGCTCCGCCCCTCAGCACAGCGCGGGGTGCCAGAGCGCACGCGCAGGGCTCGAGCCGGCGCGGCGGAGTGTGCGGCCACAGCCACCCCCTCCCCCACCCCCGCCGCGCCGGAGGGGAACCAGTCTCCTCGGCTGCTTCGGCTGCCGAGGTCTGGCGTAGTCATGGAGTCTCCGTGGGATGAGCTGACCCTGGCCTTCTCCCGCACGTCCATGTTCCCCTTTTTTGACATCGCCCACTACCTAGTGTCCGTGATGGCGCTGAAGCATCAGCCAGGTGGGTGCGGGCGCCGCGACCCTCTTCGTGTCCCCCTCGCGGCGACGACGGCCTCAGCCCGTGGGGGGCGGAGGTGAAGCTGGCCGGGACGGATCCGGCAGTCGAGGGGGAGGGGCGCCAAGGACCGGCCCTTCTGAGTGCAGAGGGGAAACTGAGGCCGGGGAGTGCCGCGGCCCCGGGATGCCGGACGCCGGGGCGGGACTCGGGAGCGGTGACCGACGCGCTGCCGCCGTTCGGAGCGTCGGTGCCTTGGTGCCGTCCGGGCGCGGACTCCGGTACCTATGGTGCCGCCGCTGCCCTGCTAGGTGCGAGATCCGCGGAGAGCGAAGCGGAGCCCCCACGGCAGGGTCACGACGGCCCGGCCAGGAAGGCGGCTGCACGGAGGTCCTCGCACTCCTTACACCGCGCTCAGTGTCGCACCGTGGTCAGGAAGCGGCGAGAGGAGTCGTGGAGTGGGATGGATAGGGTCGTCAGTCCTGTTAGCCAGGAGAGCAAGGAGCAGTATTTGTATTTTCTTGCGTCTTTTTTTGGTATATTGTGGTGCATGCGAGGCATACACTCAGCTACTGAGCTATATGGTATACCCAGCCTCTTCTTGTGTCTTTACTGTGTTGCTTTCCTTTTTTAAAAAAGTTACCCCACCTTTAATATTTCGTATTTGTTGGGCTGGAATTTGAACTCAGGGCTTCGCACGTGAGCCACACCCCCATTCCCTTTGCTCTGGTTATTTTGGAGATGGGGGTCTTGCGAACTGTTTGCCTGGGCTGGTCTTGAACCACGATCCTCCTAATCTCAACCTCCAAGTAACTAGGATTATAGGCCACCCATGCCCGGTATGTGATTTTGGACAGAATAAAAATACAGAACTCTTTCCTCACCCACCTCCATTTCCCTGCTGCCTCTTTGTAAGCCCTCCTCCAACCCCTGACAACTATTCATCTCGTCTTTAATTTTAGGGGTATCAAGGGTCTTGAGATTCCCAAATTTGAAAATCACTTGGATAGTTGAATGTTAATATAGTACTGTACATAGAATAATCATGTTTTTTCTAGTACCAGTACTTGTATAAAGGTAAAAATGAAAGAATTCACAGGATCAAACCTATTTAACTTTTGTGTTAGACAATTACCTTTGACAGTATTGACTGTTTTCTGTTTTCAACATCTTGTCATTTTTGTGATCAGAAAACAGTTTTCATTTGCATTTGTCATGGTTAATAGTGAGTTTGTGCTTCTTAGGTTTATTGGCAATTCTTATTTCTTTCCTGTAAATTGCTTAGTATCTTTTGGCCAGTCTTCTATTGGGCTGTTGGTTGTTGTCTTCCTTTATCAGTTCTCTTTGGGTATCATGAATATTAGTTCTATTTATGTGGTAAAGTTTTTTTTTTGCTTATCTCTTGCTGTCTTAACTTTGTTTATATTGTCCTTTATTGCTGAAATTAAAAACTTTTCATGGTTAATTGTACTTTTTTAATAGACATATCTGTTAGTTTTGTTTTCCTTTGTGACTCCCTGGTTTTGTGTATTGTTTTAGGAAGAGCTTTCCCATGCCTAAGATTATAAAAGTAATGTACTTTTAATATAGATAAAAAGGGTTCTTAATCTGTCTGTAGTAATTTAGTGGTGTATGGCTATTTCTTTGCAAGCCTTTGGATCTCAGTGATGCATAGCTGAAAAGAACAGCTGGAACTCAGGATCTCAGCAGAGTAGCTACTTGAATTGGTTTTACTCTCAGGCCATTATTAAGATTATTCCTTCTGCATAGCCCACTAAGTGTCTCTAAAACTGGAGTTTTGGACCCAAGGCCCAAACTCCTGAGATTCCCTATGCCGGATCTGGCCACCCACTCCTAAATGCCAAATAAAGGGGCATGGTGAAGGCCGAAAAAGGAGGTTTATTACAGGGCTTGGGGCATGCTGCAGGAAGAGGCAGAGTAAGGACTCAGCTATCTTCAGCCATCTGTGGGGTGCAGACATGAGCTACAGGTTTAAACAGACAAAAGAACTAGGGACAGGGACAAAGGTATGTATAGTTAAACAGTTCAGTCATAGGTGTGGTCTGTGTCAGAACTGACTGGCAATCTTGGTCAGGCAGGTTGTCTAGTCCAGTTTTGGGAAGTTATCACCTGGAGGGAGTAATCTGGTTTCTTTTGAGAGGATTATTCTGTCTTGTGATGTGAATTGTTCTCACTGGGAGGGTGGCAACTCCAGGTAGCTCTGGTTCTTGTCATAAAAGTGTTATCAGTTCTTTCTTTTCTGGAATCCAAGGTGATTGCAAAGTGACTGTAAAGAGAATGGCTTAGAGCAAAGGCAGATACAAAATAGAGGCAGGGATGCCAACCTTCTCCTGTTTTTAGTTAATTTGTGGGCCCAAGTAAGGAGTCACTGCTTTTCAGCAAAAGCAACTTGAGAACCTCTTACATCCCTAGTTCTTGCTTCTTTCCTTCTTTTTTTTTTTTTTAGTGGCACTGGGGTTTGAACCCAGGGCTTCAAACTTGCTAAGCAGGAGCTCTTACCAGTTGAGCCATTTCACCAGCCCTTATTTGTCATAGACTTTTTTCAAGATAGGGTCTACCAAACTATTTGCTTGGGGCTGGCTTTGAACCCAGCTCCTCTTGATCTCTGCATCCTTAGTAGCTAAGATTACAGACCACTGGTGGGGGTACCTGGCTCTTGCTTGTTTGCTTTAGTCTCTCATTTCTTCTGTGAAGTACTGAAATCCTTCCAGTGGCTTAAGTTTGCCATACTTATCTTTTGTTGTTTGTAGCCAAGAAAACTCATGTCTATTTCTAGCTTCTTTATATCAAAGAGTATTGATAATAAAGTGTTGAGCAGTGGCAATAGTGAATAGCGTCACTCTTGATTTTAATGAGAATGTTTCTAAAACTTTATCAAATGGAATATTTGCTATAGGTTTATAGGAGGAATACTATACTGTAAGGAAGTTTTATTTCTAATTTTCTAGGTTGTACCTATATCTTCACCACCATCTTAATAGAGAAGATGACAAATTTCATTGTGCTATTTTTTTTAACTCAGATCTGTTGAAATGACCGTAAATATTGCTTTTATCAGAGAAAATATGTAATGTAGATTACATTAATACATTTTAAAAAGTGATAACTCATCCTTACATTCTTGGAATAAACTTTGTTTGATGTATTATTTTAATTTGCTAATAATTTATGAAATTTTTATTTCATTGTTTATAATGGTGACTAGCCTATCAGGTTATTTTTTCCTTTTCCAGTTTTGGAGTCAAGGTTATGCTGTTTTTGCAAAATAGATTGGGAGACATTCCAGTTTTAATTCAAAATGGCTTATTTAATAGGCATTGATCTTAGAAATTCAGTAGACTTCAATTATGAAGCTATCCATTTCTTGGTGCATTTGAATGGGAAAATCTTTTTCTTTTCAATCCAGTCTCAGATCATTTTGGTAATTTACATTTCTCTTCAGATTTTCAATTCGAAATAAATGTGTATATTAAATTACAGAAATTTCTCAGGATTCGTCAGTACTTTGTTACTGGAAAGTTAGCATAGCTCTACCTTAGTCCTTGCATCTGGCAAGAGAAGAATTCAGGGAAGATATGTAACTATAGTGAAAGTAATAGTAATGCTATTAAGAAAGGAATAAACACACTTTCAGAAGACTGAAAGTGGGTCCCCTCTCCCATCTAGAGTGAGAAGGACAATAGTTTTTACCCTGGCACCAGTTTTTATTGAAGTAGAGGGGGCTTGGAGTGGTAAGTCCCTACCTAGGACCTGCCCAGGAGGCTGAAGTCACAGTTAAGGTCATGCGGCTAGATTAGGTCTATAGATTTACAGTGTACCAACTATTATTGGGTCCACCTGATTTCTTTTTTTGCTACACTGGAGTTTGAACTCAGGGCCTACACCTTCAGCCACTCCACCAGCCCTTTGTGTGATGGGTTTTTCGAGATAGGGTCTGGCTTCGAACCATGATCTTCCTGATCTCTGCCTCCTCGGTAGCTAGGGTTACAGGCTTGAGCCACTGGCACCTGGCCCACCTGACTTCTTAGGGACTGAGATAGTTTAACAAAGTAAAAAATGTTTCTGTTTTTTATTTTTCTATTTTTAAGTTAATATGGAGAAAAAAGAATTTGCTTACTAATTTATAAAAGTTGTGTTGATCTTGTAAAAATGGCAGTTGGAGTCGCTCCCTGTCTATGATTATGATAATTCACAGCCTTTCAGCAAGCCCTTCCTTCTTTAAGTGGTGATGTTGTTTGCAAGTTAGCTGACACTCTCTTTGCATCTTTCAAGTGTTTGGTTGTGGCACCAGTTTCTGTGGTATTTTATGTTTACTCTGTTGGTGAGGAGCGTGATCTTTATGGGTTTCTACTTGACCTTTCTTACCATATGATTCTTAATCATGGCTCAGAGAATCAATATGGGAATTGCTCCATTCGCCAAATCCATCTATTCTGGTTATTCATTAAGGAACTGGGGAAAGAACACAGCATTGGTCTGTGTATCTATCTGCTTGATGTACTGTGATTCTAACTTAATCTGAACCTCCTTGAATCGTGTTGCAGATAGTTTGTAAACTTTTGTTGCCTACATGATTATTTTTGAATGATTTAGATGAAAAAGCATGGTTGGCATGGTTGAGTTATATGAGGTTTATCATGTTCATTTCATTCTCTCTCTTTTTGGCAGTACTGGAGTTTGAACTCAGGGTCTTGTGCTTGTTAGGCAAGTGCTGTACCACTTGAGCCATGCATTTCCCCCCTCCCTCACCACCATTTTTTGGGGGTTGTTTTTGTCTGGGCTGTACTTGGATCACAATATGCCTCTATTCTCCCTATGCCTTTAGGAGTAGCTGGGATTGCAGATATGTACCATCATACCTGGCTTGTTTATTTAGATGGAGTCTTGGTCAGTTTTTGCACACTGTGCCCTGCTTTTTTATTTTTTATTTTTTTTTGAGACAGTGTCTTGCTATGTAGCCAAGGCTGACCTAAGACTCACTGTGT